TATATTATTGTTGTATATTACTCGTTCCTTGTATGCCGAGCGGACCACAGGGCCTCAGTTGCACATCTGCATTGTACTTGGTCCTCTGTCACCACTTTTAGTTGGTTCGACGACTACTCACAAACTTTCTTTTCCTCCTCACATGATCTTCTCCATATCACCGTAGGACCCATGTTCGACCCGTCGCTTCCCATCCAGATTCCTCTAGAGGACCATCCTGGTGTTTGGTGTCATTTAGATGTCTCCTCAGCATGTGTCCACTACATCATCATTTCCTTCTGCATATCTTTTCAAGTTCGGTCACGGATTGATATCAGTTAGAGAGTCATTGAAAACCAGGAAGTACTGGACAGCTGTTTCATCTTCCTTCTTAAGACACTTCATCAGCACGCACCCTCCAGGGTTCGAACCCAGGACCTTCAGGTTACAAGGCAATCTCGTGGATCATTCAGCCACTGGAACCCGACCCAATGGCCGGTTCATGAATTCTAACTTCTACCAATTCGTGCGACCATCAGCCAATATCATCGGCGAGTATTTGTCCTCACAGCCGACCGGATGGACCTTAATGGTGACGATTTCTCACTAGAACTCCAGGCAACTTCGACCTATAGCCAGTCACTGGAGAGGTTGATTGCTTCTCTGGCAGACTTCCGTGTCGAAAAACATTCTTAAATGAATATTCTCATTTGTGTGCAGGTTGTACAGCCCCGAATTTTCACATTCTATTTTAGATTCTCCTTTCAGCCCTCACAGAAGGAACATGACTTTTTGGGGGTGATATTTTAAAAAATGATTATATCGATTTGTCCTTCTTTTCTTGAAAAGAAACATATTACTAAACTGGTAATGGTAACACGCAATAGGATGATAACTTTAGGCACTTAAGTTGTCAGGCTATCGGTTACACTTTTGTGTGCTGTATATGTGAAGTTCATATATTTATCGATTGTTAGAAAAATATAAAGACATTACCTATTTTTCTAAAAACTGGTACAAGGATATACTTGTGTGTTTGAGGTGTATGCGTAACGTGTTCACGTGTATATGTGAGTGTTCCTATATATATATATATATATATATATATATCATTGCCCTGTTCATGTGTCAATATATTTTACTCTGGCAGTGATTCTTCATAGGTTTACTTTTTATAAGAAAATCATTTTGTTGATACTTTTTATAAGGGTTACACGATGATTCATTTGTTTATTCAGACACCAAGATAATCATTTCTGGATAAATTTTTTCGTCAAAAAAGTTATCACCTTTTATTTATCTGTTATTAACTTTTTTCTTATCTTCAATATATTTTGTTTAAATTGATTCTATTGGAATTTCCCGGTAAATTTGAATACAAGACTAGTCTAAATCAACTTTTAATTTAAAGATAGGAAGTGAAATGATTGAGCGCATTGACGACATCACTTATTTGAGAATTTACATCATCTCTAATTAAAACGATTTCTGATGAAATCTCCACTTGGATAAGAAAGGCTTATTTAGTACTTTCCAACTTGCATCATCTTTGGCGTAGATGTGTAATATCCGACTATTGATCAATGAGTGTGTGTACTATGCAGCAGTTCTCTCTGTCTTTTTGTTAGCTTTGAGACACCTGCTAAAAGTGAAATACTTGAAGAGGTTAGATATCTTTGATCATCGATGTTTGCACTCATTTTTTTCCACTCATTTTAAATAGCGATATAAAATAACTAACCGGACTGGCTGAGTTTCATTCAACATAGCAGTTCAAGTTACTGCATTCCATTTAGCGTACGTAGATAGCGAAAAGATAGAAAACAGAAATTCAATGGAACTATAATAAGCATAAAGTGGGTAAAAATAGTAACATGGAAAAGCATGAGAGTTTAATGGATATGGCGGGTCACAAACGGTGAATGCATCAGTCCCATTGAGAACAGTTTTGAACCATATCACCAACAGTTTGCAGCCCTAGGTTCCTAGCATTCCAAACACCCTAACTAACCAGTCTACACTTCCCTATATAACTCAGACTAGTGGTGTAATGTGGTGAGTTGGGTATTATTGAAGTTAGGTGTAAAGTGTCAAGTAAGCTGGGGGAATCAACCAATGAGGTTGTGAAGCTGCATAGATTAAAATGTAAACGGCACGTGTTGCGTGTGTCCAGCCATCTTTTTCTTGGCTGTGCAACGTTACATCTGGTGTAGGATTGGTTAGAAAGAGACTTAAGTGCGGTCAAATCAAAAAATGGCACCAATCTATGAAGACTTTGGTAGTTGGCGTCCTCTAGACTCTAAGATCCACCGCTTTGAGATTTTTTATGATGTGGCTGGAAATCGTACTGACTGGCGTCGATACATTCGCTGTTCGTAATCTTCAAAGATCCATTCAATTCTCATGTTTTTCTATGCTACAACTCTTTCTCTTGCACATTTTTGCTCATTATAGTTTCTTTGCCTTTCCTTTTTCTCTCCGTACCCTTATCTATGCTTTTATGAAATGTAACGACTTGACTTGCTAAACTTTTATGCAAATTTCTACATTGACATCTCAGTTCACTTGCATGCAAATGATGAGTAAGTTTTCAATTGTGAGTAGCAAAAGCCTGTTGCCTTACATTTGCCAGTTTGATTTCAATCTCTTTCACTGTTGATAGATTCTGTTTTCCAATCTGTTATCTTGTGATTTCATGAAGAAATAAATGGTGACTTATTTATTTTCCTGCATTATTGAATCTTACAACTGTACGTAATTCTCACCTGTTTCTAATGTCCCTTAGCAATAGAATTCAGTATTATATTGAAGTCAATATGAAGAAGACATAATACGTGTGGGTATTGGTGTTAATTATAGAATGTAATGTGACTGATTGACTGACTGGTTTCAACGTAGGACTTTGTACAGGTGTTCAGCAGTTCGAGTTGCCACACTCCCTCTATGTACCACACAAAGCAAGAGAAGAGAGTAAAGAGAGATAATAAACAGAAATATGAGGCAAAAGAATAGTAATATGGAAAAACAATAGAATTTTATTAGATATAATAAATCACAAAGAGTGAGTGCATCTGCGCCATTGACAACGAATCTGAACCATATCTCCAATTGTTTCCAGCCATTGGTTTTTACGATTACGAGGACCACAACCAGAAAGTCTACGCCTTCCTACGTGGCTGGCTTAAACTAACTGTTGTGGATTTCATTGACCGATGCCATCTATGGGTTTGACCACCACTTGCTAGCTCTTTTCCAACCTGATCTATCCCATGTCAGCTAACATTGCCCATCGAGGAAGGCGATACCTAGGCATACGTGACACATGCCTTAACCATCTCAATCTGTGTAACTTCACAACCTCGTCGATTGATTTCCCCTCCCTACCCAACACTCGACCGAAGCCTAACCTCAATATTGCTCACCCTATCATACCAATTCACACGGGAGATAGAACTCAGGCACCTATGATCAAAGACAGCTAGGCTGCCAGTACACGCGTATTTTCGTCGACAGCCGGATATCACGTCTACTCCAGAGATGGCGTTAACTGACTGAAAAGTGCCAAACGAGCCTTCTGTATCCATGCAGAGATTTCGTTAGCGATCAACCCACTGGCGTTGGCTGATGCAACTCCCCAAATAAGTGAAGTGGTCATCACGATCAGCCACCATTTCACTTTTGCCTATTTTTAAGCTTAGGAGTCGATGTCGTCCAATCCTGTAGCATCATTATCATCATTATATAGTGTAATCAAGTTTTTCTGTTAGAGGCAGAATAAATTAGTAGCATCGTTTGTTTCGTTGGCTTCTGATCAACTGTTCTACAGCCGAAGAAATTAACATAACTGAGTAGTTATAACTTATTTGCAAATATGTCATGATATCAGTTAACAGGCGACTGTCAAATTAACGCACATTGCTTAGAAATTACATTTATATAACCTACACATAGAAGGTTAAGGTTTAGACGAAACAAAAAATGGAAACGGAGTTGCGTAATAAAGACAATGGATAAGATGATAAGTAACTACTAATAACAAGTTGCGTATTATTGAGGTGAGTTCAACTCAAATCACTGAAACAAAATACAAGCTGAATTACATTATATCTATACGCGAATAGGTTAAAGTCAAAGATTACGCAATCAAATAGCAGAGAGACTAAAGACATACAGTTATCAGAGTCAAGGGAAAAACTGATAACTGCTTCTTTCTACACATATAAATCGGGTTTCAAGCTTTTGATAGTAGTCTTTGACAAACTTGTGGGATAGTGAACTATTATTGTCTACTGATAATTTTAGAGGACTTCAGTGTCCATTTCATGATTCGTATCAATGAGATGTTTGGTAATAGCACTGCCTAAGGTATTTGTTCCATCGAAAGAGACGTAGCCTTTTAGGTTCATGTTGGGAAAATTGAAGGTGTGCCCTTCTTTCTCTTAATGGTCTGTGATATCGCCTTGTAACCAGAAAGTCCTAGGTTTGAACCCCGGTGGGTGCATACTATGAAGAGACTCAAACTAGGATGAAAACAGATGTCCAGTACTCCCAGGTTTTCCAGTGGTTCTCTAACTGATGTCTTTGATTACACCAAAGAGCATCAGTCATTTGAGGTGAATTACTTTATGACATGCCATAGTGTACTTATTGGTGTCATGTTTATTATAGTGATTGCACAGTAGTGGAGATGTGAATCATAGCCTTAGCACCCTATATTTTGCTGGTTCGAGTCTCGTTCAATCTACATCAGAGTGTGCCGATGGGTAGCATCATCAAGCCTTCACACAATAAGTGTGGTCGTTAGTCTGGCACACTGAAAATATCTGTCCTAGGTAGGTGAGTTCAGTCTTACAGTATAGCTACCTTTATAGTGCTTATTGATTTCATTATGTATAGTCTTCATTCGTTAATTTGTCTATTGTCTCATATGTTGTTGTTTTTTTCCTTTCAACCATGAATGATTTGGTTTACCAATCAATGAATGAATGGAACATATTCATATGGTTCGCTTATCATTATAGCTTTGGATAAATTATTATGTTAGTTCCCTTGGTATAGGAGTTTATCATACAGGAGTCGTAGTACACGGAACTGGTAAGTGTAATTGATTAACTCACCAGTCCTTATTTGTTTTCGTAAATGTTTATATTTATTCCACTGTGGACAATTAACATTTATACTAATTTTTGTTGTTGAATGTGCAGCGTTTTTTCCGATTAGTTTCAGTGCATGGTTTGTCACGAACTGACATCAGTTAGAGAATCGTTGAAGAAAATAGAGTACCAGACAGCCATTTCCCTTTGATTTAGTACGCATTTTAAGTTTCGCCAGGAATTAAAGGTTATCAGTAGGGCAAGTGGTATGCCACTAAATCAGCTCGTTACTACTGTAGTTGACAGACACCTAAACTCATGTCAGAAATGGCTTCACCAGCGACTGGTCCTACACAGGAAGTCACCCGCCGTTCTAGTGAGAAGTCGTAGCCAGCGGGGTCCACCGAGTTAGGCAAGAGGACGGTTACTTGCCTGTGATATTGGCTAGCAGTTGCGCTTAATATGTATCACAAATTGGCAGAAGTTGGAAATCTTGGGCCACTGAATTGGATCCCAGTTGGCTGAATTGTCTGTGAGCTCTCTTTGTAACCAGAAGGTCTTGGGCCTAAACCCCGGTGGGTGCATACTACTGAGGAGTTTGGAATTTTTCATCAGCACTGGTTTTCGGTGACTCTAACTGAAATTAGTTCGTGGTCTAAATTGGAATCAATCAAATTCTTACAGACCGACATGTGAGAATTAGTGCGTTTTGTTGAAGAATCCCATATTGAGACGAAGCAGTTGTCCAGTGCCCCATGGTTTTCAATGATTTTCTAAGTAATCTCCGTTCGTAGCAAAATCCATCCCGAAATTACATTCATATTTCACTTTTCAGTATAGAAAGGTTGCTTATAAAACGATGAATTTGTTCAAAGAATCAATCTAGAGATTCCAGTTTTAGTGTCAAATGATATGGCTTCAAAATTTTTCTGGTCGCAAGTAGTAATGAAAAGATTGTAAGCGTACTAACGGTGAAATGTTATGAAGTCATCATATTTGCAAAATGTTCTACCTTTCGAGAATTTTAATGTATTCAAGCATAATATTGCCTCAAAATGTTATCAGTCTTTTCGACATTATTGGAGAATCAATCATACGAACATCACAAACTTGATAGAATATGGGCCCAAAGAGGTGCGCCACACAAAAATAAGAAAACTAAGAATAGAGTGAGGGACAACTTGCAGATGGCAAGCATACTTGTCAAAAGCATTCAAAGGATGGTTTATTACTTCATTTTACTTTCAGAAAGGGAAGAAGCGAGAAAATCCCAAGGAGTTAATTGGTTACGATCCTTGGCCATGTCTGATAACGTCTTATTCGAATTATCTCTTGGATACCACCCAGGTAGTCATGATCCATCAAAAGATGCTAACCTAACTCAAGAATCCTTCATCCCACGGCACCACGACATATACTGACCGCCCGTTCACCTCTTCCATCCAGTGTCATAGCCAGCAAACAGCGATCTGTATGGGAGTCGCACATGTCTAAGCCACCGAAGTCGATGTTCCAAGATGACAACACTTGGTGAGAAATGGTCTCCGCTGTATCCAAACATACACTATCAGACCTCAGTATCACCGGTAAGAGGATGGGTGCAAGCGATGATACAGAGGTAGAGGTAATTGAACATACACTGACAAGGCGACAGCTCCAGAGGTGGTGCAGGTCGGTGTATGTCGCCCTGGCTTTTACTATGCGGTTAGAGACTTCATCCGTTACACCTCCTCCAGCATTCACACAACCACCTAGCTACACGAACTTGTTGATTGCTTCAAGCGGTGCATCTACTAGGTTGGATGAAGGTTTAGGTTCCTGCCAATCTTGCAACAGTATCTTGCACTTAGACGACGCAAAATGCCTACAATACTTACAGATACTGATCACCAACTGATTGACTGAGATTTGGGTAATCAAAGAATGTGGACTAGTTGAATTGTGATAGGGATCAATTTTTTTTTCTTTTGTTGAATTCTGTTTCTAGTCGACCGATAATTAGGCCTATTTAGAAATAATTTTCTTCTCAGACTAGGGATAATGAATAGAAGAGTCACAAGTATTGATTCAGTAATTGATTTCGTGTCTTAATGACCTAACTGTCAGATCGTGTTAAAATCGATCTGTGACACGAAATTCAGACTTTCAGGTGTACTACTGGGATTTCGTCTAATGCAAATCAAAAATAGAATCAATCGAAGGTGTACACTAAACAAGAATTGTAACCAGAATAAAAAACAGTATATATATATATATATATATATATATACCGTCACATGGGATGTTCACCTGCATTAAGAGCGGCACTCGAGCCCAGGACCCAGTTGGCTGACAACTTTAGTACTTAGGCCAATAAACCGCTTCTCTACAAGAACAGAAACGAATATTCATTATAATGAAGGTTTTTGTATTTCCCAATGAATGAAAAACAAAACGATATTGTTTTTATCAAAGTATTATTAAACCGGAATTTACAAAATCTCTGCATATGTATAACAAAGAGTTAAGAGGTGAGAAAATAGACTTAGGTCAAGTTAAAAGGACATATTGAAAGTCAAAATAACAATGAAGATCACTAAACCAAATATCAAAGGTAATAGTACATCTGTTATGATATCAAAACAAAGTTTACTAACTTGATCATCGTTCGTCAGTCTGGGGTCATTTTTCGTTGTCAAGTTGGTCAATTAGTAAAGATAACAAAATCAAGTGTAGATTGTTGCATTTGATCAGTGTGTAACATTATAAAATTGTAGTGTGTGTTTACATAGTGAACTTGCTTATCACATTCGTGATGATTTTGTCACTTCATGGGGAAGGGGGATGTTGTAACCAGGTCAGATTCTGTTTTAGTCCATCATTCCTATTCAGGCAATTTGGATTCCACTTGATATGAAGTGCTTCTGATATTAGACGTTCTTTGTCGTTCTGGATTGTTTCAGTATTGTCAAAATCAATTTTGTGGCCTGATTCTATAGCGTGTAGATCTATGGCTGATGATTTTTCAAGTTTTCTGGTTCAACCGGATTTCTCGGTGGTCGAATAGATGCTCTACGGTGTTCATTTCTTCTGATTTTGATTTCTCGAGATGTTTGTCCGATGTATATCGCATTACATTCCAAGCATTTTATTTTATAGGCACAATTAGATAGAGAATCTTTAGGGATTTGGTCTTTTATATGGACAAGATTGTTTCGTAGTATGTCTGATATTCACCGACGTCTGATTCTGCTTCTGAAGTAAACTGGATTCTGGGAGATACGCAGTTTATTTTCTCCAAGAATGAACACTGTGTAGATCTCGTTTTAGCACTACTAAAGTATCATCTACATATCTTAGCCATATTTTAGGAGTGAATATGCTTGAAAAGAGCGTCAGTGGCATATCGGTTAGGACGCTCGCCGACCATGCACATGGTCCGGGGTTCGATCCCCGGCCGGCGCACTCCTTTACCTCGCTAAGCGAGAACTAAAAGCTGGTGAAGAGGAAAGGTTGGGCATGAGGCTAGCAACCCCATCCTGTAAAAATAAACACTGCTACAGAAACTTCAAGCCTCTAGCTTGAAGCCCTATGTTCCAGTGGGAACGTGAAGAAATAAAAGATGCTTGAAAAGATGTTATTTTCGAATGTATTCATGAAAAGGTCAGCGACTATTGGGGAGCCTGGTGAAGCCATAGCAACACCATGTGTCTGTCTATATAAACTCCCTTTAAATGTAAAATAATTACATTCTAGACAGAATTTCAAGCTCTTAATGCTTTCACTGGTGTTCAGTGGACATCTTTGTAATAGCGTTGTGTCTGATTCTACTAGACTGGAGATGATATCAACACTTTCGGTAATAGGGATACTAGTATATAATGAGTTAATATCATAGCTTACCATGATGTCTTCTTTATCAATTTCTCGGTGTTCTATTTGGGATTTGAAATCATATGAATTTCTTATAATATTTTGAGTGTCCTTTTGTAGTGGTTGTAGTACGTAGAGTAAGTATTTAGAGAGGTTGTATGTCGGTGAGCACTTCATATTAAGTGGAATCCAAATTGCCTGAATAGGAATGATGGACTAAAACAGAATCTGACCTGGTTACAACATCCCCCTTCCCCATGAAGTGACAAAATCATCACGAATGTGATAAGCAAGTTCACTATGTAAACACACACTACAATTTTATAATGTTACACACTGATCAAATGCAACAATCTACACTTGATTTTGTTATCTTTACTAATTGACCAACTTGACAACGAAAAATGACCCCAGACTGACGAACGATGATCAAGTTAGTAAACTTTGTTTTGATATCATAACAGATGTACTATTACCTTTGATATTTGGTTTAGTGATCTTCATTGTTATTTTGACTTTCAATATGTCCTTTTAACTTGACCTAAGTCTATTTTCTCACCTCTTAACTCTTTGTTATACATATGCAGAGATTTTGTAAATTCCGGTTTAATAATACTTTGATAAAGCTGTTAGCATTCAATAGCGAAATGTCAGTAAAAACAATATTGTTTTGTTTTTCATTTATTGGGAAATACAAAAATAACCCTTTATTATAATGAATATCATATACTCAATGCTCAAATTTTTTCCGTGTTAAAAGTGAACCTGGTTTGGACATACATAACAGAAACGAATATCTCTGGAATAACAGCTAGAATAGCAATACCGTTTGATATAGACATAACGAACAGGCCAGAACAATTTTTTCATTCGGTATTTTGCATATCAAAGATCCAACAGAAAAAGATAATATCAACATCATTTACAAAATAGATTGCATGAACTGCGATAGACACTACATTGGTCAAAGTGGACGTCGCCTTCCAATAGAATAGAAATTAGCTGCGAAAAGCCACGATATGTATTTTTTTTTGTCATATCGATGCATATAGATAATCACCGACACAAATTTGATTAGGATAATGTAGAAATTTTAAATAGAGGAAACACCGAAATTGGCAGGGAATTTCTGGAATCCTGATACTCGGA